TTGTATACTTTGGAATATTTTCTTTGCCGTTTCCAAGAAGGCTTCCTCCACATTGTGTCCCCTATTTGAGAAATTTGAATACACGAATCCATTTACAATCAATTTTTTGAAAATTTTTATTTAAATATTTTAAGATACTAGAGATACTCACGTCTTTGCGCTAGCTTCGACAAACATTAAACCATGTTCATCAGCAAATTGCTTTGCTTCTTCATAGGTAACATCACGTTGACCTTCGAGATCACTTTTATTACCAATTAAGAATATGACCTGCACAATAATTATTTTATGTTTGTTATATGATTAAACGTTAAAAAATTAATTTTTTTTTCTTATATCATGTGCAGAGGATAAATCAATTTAATTAAATACTTATAATCACATTGTGATATGTAATATAGCAATATGCGTACAGTGCTCGGATTTGTTAAATTCCTTGTATCTGTCAGCCAGCTACTCAGATGATTGTAAGTTGAACGACGTGTAATATCGTATACCATTAATGCTCCAGCTGCACCACGATAATATGATCTAAGAAGAAATATTTTCTCTTTAATACACATTTATAATTTTATATTTATTAGATACAATTATCGTCTAAAAAACAATCATCATTACCTAGTAACTGCTCTGAATCGTTCTTGCCCAGCAGTGTCCCATATCTGCAGTTTTATCTTCTGCCCTGCTACTTCTATAATCCTAGTCCCAAATTCGACTCCAATGGTATGTGGACAATCTGCCATGACTAAATATACAAAATCATTTATACAAAAATGTATATTCTTTAACAAAATATAGCACATCAAGGAATAATCTTATTTTTTTGGAATAAGTTAAAAAAAAATTATATTTTAAATAAAAAATAGAATTAAAAAATAGTATTAGATTGCGTATAACTTAATTATCCACGAATTGCATCCTTATTTAAACAGAAAAATTAAATACCTAATTCTCTTTAAAAATAAAGAAATTAATATTTATAATATCTATATAGGTTTTTTATTTAATAATTTTTCTTTAAAATATACAGTCCTTTTTTATCATAGGTATACTAAGACAAGAGTCAGTGCACTATTACAACTATAAATGTTGTCTGTCATACATAACGCTGCATGTATATACAGCATAATGTGCTACAGTCATACAATTATGTATGCATATGATTACAGCACATCCTTTAGGAATGTCACAACAAATAATGATAAATCACCAAATTAATTCAGCAAAAACAATTTTTCCTTACTTTACACACAATATATATATATATATATACATTTCTCTAATTATTTCATTTATTACTCACATTTTTTTTCTGTAAACTGATGAAGCAAGCATGACTTGCCCACTCCCATATCCCCTATGATGATGTACTTAAAGATATAAGAATAATTATATGGACCGGTCGACATTTTGCACCTGCAATAAAGATTTCAAGAAAATAGTACTATATTTCTTGCAGCTGTCTATTATTATTATAAATTAATTTGCAAGAGATAAAATAAAAGCTCATAATCTATCGTGAAAGTTCTTTAAATAATGTTTCCTTGTAAACTTATTGTTAAGAGATATCTAAGAGAGATCGATTCTAATCTCACACTTCATAAAATATTCCACAATCTTTTGCTTCCTTTTAACATGAGATAAAACATGATATGATTCATAAGAGTATACTAACATCAGATAAGAATCTAATGTATGTAAATCAATAAATTTAAGACAATTACACTTGTAATATAATTCAAAAATTAATAAAATCTTTAAATTATTTCTTTATCAATCTTGATTGATAAAGAAATATAATATTATACCCATTTATTTTTTAAAATAAATTATACAGTTTTACTGAAATTATTATTATTTGAGTTTTAATATTATTCGAAAAATTGATTTATTAATTTGTTACATATAAATAAATATAATATTGCATTTCTTTATCAATCAAAACTGACAATAATTTAAAGTTTTTTAAAGTTAATTTTGGAATTATATTACACGAATGTAGCTCATAATATAATTGTA